AAATTTAATAAAGAAGAAAGGAGAAGATCTGTGTCCAAATTTATAGGATTTTTTCACATAATTGGTATGCATAACTCTATCTTAAGGTTAACTTGTTAAATTTTTTTACATGCCGAGTTTTGATATCTTCATAAGCTAAAATATCCTCAAGTTGCTCCTCATTATCATTTATCAAAGTATCCCAATACTTACTCATGATAGATTCCAAATGAAAAGAGTTTAATTTAAGTAAAAATATTTTGCTAACTCTTGTTAAAGGTTTTACCTCACGAGATTATAGATACTTATTTCCTATTAAAAGAACAAAACTCAAGTATGGAGCTCATGTTTGACTATATACAAATGTAGTGTGTGAATTAATTAACAAACCTCCTAAAATTTTATTGAAATATCCTAATATACTTGATTAAATAAACATTAACAAAGAATCAAAAGAATGGTAATGTTAATAAAACAAATGAATTAAGAGTTTATATTAATAAAACAAATATAAACCCATGTATTAATGGACCTTAAAAAAGATCATATTAAAAAAAAATTAAAATCATTAAACTAAGACTTAAGATAACATATGATTAATGTCAGTTTTATTGAAAATATTATATCATCATATTCACTAAATATTTTATGGATAATAATTAATTTCCAATCTTTTATTAAAATTTTGAAATTTATCTTTTAACATTCTTATCATTTTAATTTTTTAATCTTTTTTAATAAATGAAAATCTTTGACATTAAAATTATTTTTCTATATTCTCCAACACTTTGGTAGAATTTAAAAAAATTTTCTTACCTAAAAATTCTCAAGAAAATTACACACTCACAAATTTTCATATCATTTAGTCATTGATTAACTTTCCACTTATTCCAAAATTTGTTTAAATTACATGATAAAAAAAGTATTCAAATAAACTATATTTACAATTATCTAATATTTTGAAATTACATTTTTGACTTATATTTTTTATCTATTAAAAATAATTAAAATATGTATTTTATATAAACATTAAAATTTTAATATGCGTAAAAATAAAAATAAAACAAACAAATAAATAAATAAACAAAATACAATAAATATAAAAAAAAAAATTTATCAACAATTGAAAAAGAATCATGATTGGCTCGGGTTCTTCGCGGGTCAACGTGTAAATCTTCAAGTAGATCTGCTTTTTCAAAATGATGCTGCTTGAAATTTTTATAAAATTGAAAATCAATTTTTTCCTTCATTTTCTTTTTCAGCTTCCCCATCTTCCTTATTTTCTCTCCCCTTTCTCTAAAACATCTTAAATTCCAACATAAAAAATTGGGTATAAAAAAAATCCAACCAACCCAAATTCCAATAAAAAAACCTAGATTTTGATAATTGAAAAATTAAATGGTCCTTATTAAATTAAAATAAAAATCAGAGAACCATTAAACCCAGAATTTGACAATGAAAAATTCAACTACGTGGTTATCCATTGTCATTCACTAATGAAGAAAACTAAAAAAAAAAAAAATCTCTTTTTTAATCCTCACAATCTTTTTTTTCTTAGTTTTTTTAACTTGAATTTCTCCAAAGCCTACTAAAATTTAATAGATTTAAACCTGAAAATAGGTTCGCCACCCCTAAAATAACTCCGGCCACCGTTTAAACAACTCGATGGTACCAAAATAATTCCTTTTTCTCCTAACTAACCTAGAAACCAAGCAAGAATAGTTAAAATCTCTAAACTCAAAATCTAAAAGAACCCTTTACCTAAAAATTTTTTTTCATTGAATGCTTGCTTTATTTATTTTATTTTATTTTTGTTATTGATTGTTATGTAATTCTTATTTTTAAAAACTCATTTTAATAAATAATTTTTATACTATGATAATAATGACAAATATTAAAAATTTAATTTTGATTTTGGTATAATATAAATAAAATTTGATAACTTTTGATTTAATTTTGATTTTGATAACTTTGATAAAATTTTGGTAAACTTTGATACAAAGTAATCTACAATACAATTTCACACAAAAAAATTTTTTTGATACAATATTGGTAACTTTTGATATTAATTTGATAACTTGTAATATAATTTTAGTAACTATTGATAAAATTTTGATAGCCCATTGATATAATTCTAGTAATTAGCCTTCTAGTAACTTATAATATATTTTTAGTAATCATTAATAAAACTTACATCATTATATATTTAACAATAAATTCTTGTAAAATTATGCGGTTTCAGTTCTAGTGTAAAATAATTTTTTTTATATAATAACAGTATTGTTTTATTTAAATTTAAAATTTTTTCACTAATTTTTTTAAAAAATAAGTTCGTAATAGGTTTATCTTAATCTTTCAAAATGAAATTTCTAACGTCGTTTCTGCTAATAACCAAGATCCAATTCCTGACAATATTAAGTATAAAAAATTTATCAATGATTGATAATTAAATTATCATTAATTTATTATATTATCAATAATTTACTACTAAGCTATCAATAATATATTGCTAAATTATCAATGATTTACTAATAAATTAATATTGATTTACTACTAATTTATGAATGATTTTTTACTAAATTATAAATGATTTACTATTAAATTGTTGATAATTTACTACTAAATTACTTATGATCTATTATAAAGTTATAACCGATTTACTATTAATTTATCGATGATTTATTATAAAATTATCAATAATTAACTAATTTATACTAAAATATCACTGCTTTACAACTAAGTTATTAATTATTTGCTACTAAATTATCAATAATTTATATCTAAATTATCAATAATTTATTATTATGTTATTATGCATTTATTAATATGTTGTTATTAATCTGCTACTTAGTTTTCGATTATTTACTACAAAATCATTACAAATTTATTACTAAATTAACTATGATTCATTATCAAGTTATCACTAATTTATATTAAATTATTTATAATTTACTATTAAATTATTTACTATTAAGTTATTGATAATTAATTACTATTAAGTTATATTGATTTATTTTTAAATTTTTAATGATTAACTACTAAACTATTATTGATTAACTATTAAATTATTTATGATTTACTACTAAATTTATTAATTAATTACTACTAAATTAAAATCCGTTTACTATTAAATTATCATTAATTTATTATTAAGATATTAATGATTAGCAACTAAGATATCACTTAATTTTTTATTAATCTATCATTGATTTACTAATATATTATTATGCATTTACAACTATAAAACATGAATAATATATGAGATAATTTTTTTATATAATAACATTATTATTTTATTTAAGTTTAGAAATTTCACTAATTTTTTTATTAAATAAGTTCATGATAGATTTATCCTAGCTCTCAAAATGAAAGTTTTGACTTCATTTCTACTTGTAACAAGGGTTCAGTTCTTGATAACTTCAAGTACAAAAAAGTTATTAATGATTAACAATTAAATTATAAATTATTTACTACTAAGTTATGGATGATTTAATACTAAATTATCAATAATTTTTTTTTAATTTATGAATGATTTACCATTAAGTTATAAATGATTTATATTAAATTGTTAGTGATTCACTACTGAGTTATTGATTATCTATTATAAAGTTATAACTTATTTACTACAAATTTACTAATGATTCACTAAAAAATTATCAATGATTAACTAATTTACTACTAAATTATCACTTATTCATAACTAAGTTATTAGTAATTTACTATTACATATTAGTGATTTCCTATAAAGTTATTAATTTATTACTAAATTATCAATAATTTATTGTTATATTTTTATATATTTATTATTATATTATCATTGATGTACTACTTAATTTTCAATTATTTACTATAAATTATCATCAATTTATCACTAAAGTGTCTATGATGCACTATTAAGTTATTAATGATTTATATTAACTTATGCATAATTTAATATTAAATTATCATTGATTTGCTACTAAATTATATTGATTTACTACTGTTAATTAATTATTATTATTAATTTACTAGTAATTTATCATTGATTTATTACTAAACTATTAATAATTAATTATTAAATTATCACTTATTTTTTGTTAAGTTATCATTAATTTAATACTTTGTTATTATGCATTTATAATTATATTATATTGATTTACCATTAAAATATTATGCATATATTATTATATTGCTATTGATTTACTAAAAAGTTATTAATTATTTACTATTAAATTATCATTTATTTATAATTAAGTTATTACTAATTTACTATTAAATTGTCCATAATTTACTATACAATTATCTTTAATTTAATATAAAGTTATTATTGATTTTATCTAAATTATCACTAATTTACAATAAAATTATCAATAATTTACTATTATGTTATTATACATTTGCTACTATATTACAATTAATTTATCACTAAATCCTCTATAATTAATTTAATTGTATAAAATATATAATTGAAATCTTAATTGTAAAACTATATAAATAAATATATTTTATTCCTCATCCTCATACTTCAAAATTTTTTATCATACGGCTAATTAATTTAATTGTAAGTCTTCCTTTCTTTATGAGTTGAAGAATTAGTTGGACATGCATGATTGGCATGTAGCATATTATTAATAGGACTCTTATAAATTAAAAAAATCACATTTAATATTATTTAATATTATTTGAAGTTCACACTTTTATATGTATATATCATAAATGATATATGCATTTATCTATAATAAACACACTCATGAAAGTATAAATCTATAACAATAAATAAATGCAGTCCCTGTTATACAACAACAGCATAGATCATCAACGTCTTCAAAAAAAATTATGAGTAATTTTGGAATAAAATAGTTCTCAAAAGGTTATTTATTTATATATAATTAAGAGTTTATATTTGGTGCATTGTTATTGTATAAACTTTATACACTGTCAGTAAAACGAATGATACTACCTCATTAATAAATAAATACAAGCTCTTAAAATAAATATACAAAAAATTAATATTTTTTAAAAAATTTACTCATTAATGAACTAATATCATTTGATTCATTTCATTAATGAGATAACATCATCTGATGATCATATATAAACTCTATACAATTATGTATCAAATATAAATCCTATAATTAATTCATTGATAACTAGTACAAAATAAAAGCTCGACTCTATATATATATACTAACTAATGTGAATGCCTCTAGTTGAAAAGCCAATTTCCTAGTGCGCAAAGAATGGGTCAAATAGAACTACCCTCGGTTGATTTCCAGTAAATAATATAGAAACTAACAGACGGTGATATATTTTGAACCTGCCTTGCATCTTGCTTCGTATATTGACCCGATCAACATAATATGACCACTTAGGGGAAAATGAAATGAAGCATCATCTTGCACTTTAATGCAACATAATTGTTTCTCAAAAACTCGAAAGGCATTAATATTCAATTCAAAGGGGTCCCAAAAACATTATTCAAAACACTCAACTCACTGCAATATTAAAATTAAGGGCGAGCATAACGTACAGGAATACGCCGCTGGATGGGACTCCTACAAGAAGGACAATCCTTCATTCCTTGTTTCTCATGGAGCTCATTGCATGTAGTGCAAACAACCTGATGAGCACATGGGATAAAAACCACAGACATCTCCTCTGACAAGCACATCACACATTCACGTTCGCGTTTCACACCTTTTCCTGACAAGTCCCGGAAATCTGCCACAAATTCTGAGATAAAAGGGGCTTGAGACTCCTTTTGAACCGTTTCATGTCTGCTATCAGTAAATCTTCCCACATAGCTTCCATCAATGCCCCTTCGAAGTGCAGCAATTTTTGAAGAGTCTGTCTTCAGCCTCAATTGAGAGATTTCTTTTTCAAGTTTCTGAATATCCTCTTTGTACTTCTGCAAACCGGTTTCTGCTTTTGACTTAATCATGTCCTCCTTCAGTTTTGCTGAAGCCTCAATTTTTTCTCTTGCCTTTCTTATTGAACTACCCTGAGTAAGTACTTCTTCCTTTGCCTTCTCTTCCTGTTGCCATCTAGTCTGTGATAGTTTTATTTTTCAATGAGAACAGGGTCATAACATAAGCCATAATTACAAGAAACACCTACTCAAACTGCAAAGCTTCCTTTTTTTTGTATTTTTGAACAAACGACCAACATACCACAAATCCTGATATAAGTAGTGGCTTGAAACCATACAATCGATATAGTTATATCCAATCAGTTTGAAAACACATAGAAATATTCTCGAAAGAAGCTAGAAACATTATGGTAAAATATGTAAAGTGAAATGAATATGCTATAGGAAAAAACTCCACCAACCAAATGTTAGGAAATCAGAGCTAGGGTGTAACAAATATTAGTTTGCATCAAAGTCCAAACAAAAATGTGTAGTAATAAATAGTCCGAAATTTTAAAAAAAAAATTAAGTATAGAATTGGCCCACAAATCTGGAGAAATTTTGGCAACCTATACTCTCTTCTGGCGTGTCATACAATGGACAATCTGAAAATACCCAAACTCATTTTTTGTCACATTTGCATTACCTTTTACTAGCAAAAACATATCCTTTATGCCCATTACATGCACAGGCACCATTTACCTGTGTTTACCATATCCGCTAGCCATCTCAAAGGAGCATACCAATTGTCTCTGCTGCACTCATATAATGTGAATGTCACACCAACTACATGGAATACATAAGACAGCCATGCAAAAGATTTTAGATCAACACTTCCACTTTGGCACTTCAGAAATGGAGTCAACTCATTATAACACTTCTCACAATCCCGTCAATGAACTACCTATCTTGTAGTAGTTTGGCAACTTCTTTTGACCATTCAAAATATGTAAGATGCCAAAAATTACAAAGTGTAATCAGGTTGATTCTCAGAAATCTGAACTGCCTACATCAAGCAATGGATGCTTTCCTCACCAAGTCTCATTTTTACAAAGCTGCTGGTAGAAATTTATTAAATACATCAAGGATAACCACTTTTTTCTATGAGGAGAAAATTAGGGGAGAGAAAGAAGAGACAAAGAAATGCTCGGAAATTAAACTTTCTTGAAGACATACCTCAAGCTGTTCTTGGAGAACTTTAGCCTGCTCTAATTCCTGTAGCAGTTGGGCAACCTTGCGCTTTTCAGTCATTAGCTCTTCCTGGAACAAAGTTTTCTGCTTTTCCCAAGACTGAACTTTCATCAGTGTTTTCTTCTCCCTCTTTGATACCTCCTGACAGCTAGCTGCCGACTCCGCTGCATGCAATTTTGCAGCCTCCATCTCCTGCTGTAGTGCCGCATTTTCCACCTCAAGCCTGCAGACAGTAGCATTAGCACGTTCCACCTGCCCACTAGCCTTAGACAAAGCAACATCCATCTCAACAAACTTCTTCTTAGTGTTTTCTTCCAAACTCAACTTCTCTTTCTTAAGCCTTTCAAATTCTTCTTTCTCTTGCCTCAAAGTCTTAAGTTCAGCTTTGTCTCTACTTAATCGGCGAGCAGCCTGCATAACCTTTTGATTGGCCCACTCTGTCCATTCCTGGAGCTGATTTTTCAGCTCCTGCACCCTAGGTACCAGCTTCAGAATCGTCTCATCCTTATTATCCTGAGGGACCCACTGCCCCAGCGATTTATCAAATGGCATCCAAGCATAGCTCAAATTAGCATCTTCAGAATGAGAAACAGGAGGCACTACAATCGAATTGTTTTTGGTGGGCAATGAGAGGGAAAGCTCGGTATCAGCAGTTGATAATGCAGGTGGGTTATTAATAGGTGGTAATTCAGGTAGCATGTTTGCAGGGGGAGAAGTGGCTGCTATATTGGTCTTAGGCACTGCAGAAATATTACCATTATCTACGCAAAATGTTGCAGAAGGAGAGGATTCCAAATTAACTGAAAGATGACTCCCATTATCTTGAGGCACATCAGCTCCCATTGCCTTAATTTTCAAGGATGCACTTTTTATATTAACAGCAGCAGAGTCAGAGATAGATTTTAGTTTCTTGTCCAAGATTAAACCTCCCAAACTGCTCAGTTTAGTTCTTGATGACGCTTTAGATCCATATGTCCTGTAGTTTTTCTCCAGATGAAGCGACTTCTGCCGAAGAATATATTCTCTCTTGGTAGAGTGAATCTTTCTACTAGCCACAAACTTTTCTTCCACTGTTGAAGACTGAGATGTTCCAGCCGCACTGAAAGTTTTATCTGCACTATCAGAAATGGAGTTTGTTCCCTCTTTCTCTGAAACTATACCACTTAGAACTAAGGAATTTTTAGATTTTGTTGAGTTATCAATTCCCATAAATGGTACCTCGGGCAAAGAACTATAACAAGAAGGAACAGGTGGAACAGGTTTACAAGGATTTGGAAGATTCAGTTCAGAAGTTTTGGCTTCTGTCTTCAACTGGGGTTGTTTAGAAGTAAAAGAACTCCCACTGGAAGATTCATCACCAATAAAACCACTCAATGGGTCACCATCCATAGCACAAGCATGTGACACATTCATGTCACAAATCAACAAGCACCACATTGCATCCCCAGTGCTCAAGAAAGGTGGAACTTCTCGAAGAATACAAACCAGTTCAGCTAATATATACTTCTCCAGCTGCTGTAGATCCTCAAAACAGTGGTCCCTTGAAGGATTACCATCTTGGCCGCTACTAAGAAATGCTAAGGTATTATCCACTATATTTGAGACAGTGTCTTTACAACCATAACAAAGGCCCGACCTCAAGACTGCCTTAGTAGCAACTTCTTCCGTGTAGCCATAAGCAACAATTTTCTTTATTGCACTTTTGAATATTGCATCCAAATTGCTTAATACAAGTTCTTCTAGCTGAGCTTCCGTGAGATCACTCCAATCAGCATCTTGGAATTCATCCGCTTCTAGTTCCTCTCTAGACCGGCTTGGCCCAACCTCAGAAGAACCTAACGCGCTAGACAAGCCAAGATCAAGTTTTAATCCATCTGAATGATCTTGGTTAACACCACAAAAGTCGCATGCACTAGCTTGACCATGGACTGGGGTGATTTCAAACCTCTCAGCACAAAATTCATAACTTGGACACCCGTTTTGAAGTGAAGTTATGATCATATTTTGGTCACCTAAAGGCGGATCAGCCCGGAACTTTCTCTTATTCCTGCTACCTTTTTCTTGAATTGATATCAACGGAGACACTTGACTACCACTACTACTATCTTTAATATCCAATGATGCCATTTTTAAGCTGCAACCAAAACCAACAACAATCTATTTACATTTATCAAACTATCTATCAATCCTCAGTGATAAAACTAAACTACCCAATGACCCATTTCGCCAAACCCAATCAAAATTACAATACAAAATCCAAATTTGAAATGATTACATAATAAGCTCATTAGATCATTAACTAGCAAACTAAAAATAGTTATAATATCTTATTATAAATTAAAAAAAAGGAAAAAAAATCGTACCTTTATATCTCAAGTATCGAAATTTTACAATACCAAAAATCAAAATTCTGCAACAAAAGGGAAAACTCAATCAATTAAGAAAAAAAAGACTACCCAGATTCCAAAATTAAGTAATCCATGTATTAACAAAATACCCACTAAGTAAAACCGCAAGATTTTTATTCAATCTATCAATTTCCAATATTATAATCTAAAATTAAAAAACAAACCAATAGATCAATAAAAAAATCCCAAAAAAATCGATCGAGTCACTGATCAGGTAACAAAAGATCCTTTTATTTGATTGATGATCAGATTTCGGTGATCGAAAATCATACCCCTATTGCAAGCTTATTTCTTGGAGCAAAAATCAAAGGTAAGACGAATCTCGGAGCACCGGTGAAATTGGAAAAAATATATATAAGAGACGAACTTTTTTTTTTGGAGGGATTTGTTTTTATTTTATTTATTATTTTATTTTAATTTTGTGCATTGGACGATCTCGGTCACTCTCTAGAAAAATATTTTTGGGCTTGTAGGAATATTTGATTTTTTTTCTTTTAATGTTTATTGAACCATGGTTGGTTATTTCGCTTTCCTAAACTAACCATGGTTAAGGAAAATTTTTTGCATGAGTTTGAATTTTTGTTCATTTTTGTGAAAAAAATAAAAATTTTATTTAAAAACCTTTTATTTTGATTTCATGTATCATTTTAAAATTATTCATGAATCAATATTTAATACATTATCGTGTAATTTTTTAATTTAAAAAATAAGATTAAAAACTCTTATTTCATCATATTTTTTAATTATAAAGAAAGATTGATCCATATTTTAAAGGGAGGATATGCGTTAATCATGAGTCAAATATTTGAATTTCACTATTTTATCTTATATAAATATATAAAAGTTAAAATCTTTAGCAAAAAAAAGAAATAGTTTAATGTGAATAGTTTATATTTTTGACATGTGATTAGGTTTAAAAAATCCCCATATGTTCTCTAATAAATATATTTTATTTATTTAAAATATTAATAAAACTCATTCATCCATTTGAAAAAAATATACATACAATTAAGTTCTAATTGATATATTAATATTACAAAAATATTCATACAAGTAATATCAAATTTTATTTTCACATTGATTTGTTTAATATGTAACATTATCTAATTAATTATTTCTATGTCCCCTTAAAATTAGGTGATTATATATGGTATTAGATTTAAAGAGGCCATTACATCCTTGATATTTGACATAGATTCATGATCTAGGAAGAAGCAGAGAACTTTTAATTGTTATAAGTAAAATTGGAATTGTTGATGTTGTCCATATCTTTAGGAAAGTAAAGTAGCAAACTATGTTGCTGATTCTTTAACAAAGATGAAAGAGGAAAAACAAATTTATTTTATGCCTATTGGTAGTAGACTCCAAAGGGGTTAGGTTGTGTGTACGTGTGCGCGTGTGTGTGTGTGTTTTTTTTTTTTTATGAGAAATTAGATTATGTGTATTATTAAATGCCATTACAATCGTTTTTCTATTTATGCATTGGAGCCTTGTCTAGTGACATTTTTAAATTTTGTAATCTTTTGGTTTAATGAATGAAATTATATTTTTGAATGATAAAAAAAATCTATTTCACACTTTTTATGTTTTGTACTTTTATATATTTATTTTTAATAATCAAATCAGGGTTATTTATTAAATTGTAAATAAAATGATGATAAAAAATTATTAGGGTGACTTAAATTTTTTATCAACCATTATCAATATTTTTGTAATCATGAAAATAAAATTTAAATTATTCTCTAAAATTGTAATGATATTAAATTTTGAAATAATATTATATTACAAAAATTATTATAGATACATTTACCTCGTGTATAACACAAATATAAAACTTTAAACTTTCAAAAAAGTAATATTTGATAATTAATTTTTGGGTAAATTACATAAATATATCATGTATTTAAATGCAATTTGAGTTTGCTCCCTGAGATTTAAAAAGTAACACTTAACTACCCTTATATATCCATGCCAATCCATTAATTTTTACTAACACTGTTAACGCCTAATCAAATAAACCCTAGCTCTTTCACTATTTTTTTTTTTGTTTGCTATTTCTCATATTTAAACTTTTCAAAGAAAAAAAATTTTCTTTTTTTTTCATTATCAATTCTTTTTCTTTTTCTAAAACTAGGCAAATTCTCTCTCTAAAAACTAGACAAATGAAATTCTTTAAAACCAGACAAATGGTAATAATTTTTATAGCAATCAAACTGGAAATAAATATGGATGGACAATTAAATTTTTTGTAAAATAAGGTTTTTGAAGCTACCATTTTAGCTTTTGATCATCCTTTTCTCAAAAATCACAAAATCCAAGTTTATTCTTCGCCTCCTCTCTATTGTTTGGCAACATTTTTTCATATAATTAAAATTTGAGGATTGGTTTTTGTATTGTTGTATCAGTTGAGGCCTAATTACCACCTACAGTTCCTTTTTTATGAGAACAAGTTCTTTAACACTAAGAAAACCAAACAACGCTCAAACTTCATAACTCAGCTGTGGCATATGAATGGTAAATATCCCCAAGAACCAAACTCATCAAACCATCAGAAGAATAAAGGAAAAAGATGTTTTTTGGGCAAAAGAACCATACCTATCATACCATTAGTAAAAAAATATGGTGAAAAAAAGTATAGCATCAACATTTAGCCTAAGTCTATAGATCTTGATTGGTTTTTAATTTTTCATGTTAGTACAAGTTTGAGAGAAGGAAAATCAGTTTTATAACAAAAACGCAAAAAAAAATCAAGAGATGGAGAACTTTTGATTTTAAAGAGAGAAAATTTCTCTAATTTTAGAGAGAAGGAATAAATTAATGATGAAGAAGAAAAAAATAAAGAAAAAAGTAATAGTTTTAGGTAAAAAAACAATAAAACAAATCATAGGATAATTAAGTGTCATTTTTTAAATCTCAAATGACAAAATCAAATCACATTTAACCACAAGATATATTTATATAATTTACCCTTAGTTTTTTTAATTGAAAAAAATAAAATTTTCTTAACCTTAAATTTTTAAAGTTACATAATATTCTTAAATGTATGATAGAAATCAAAACTTGACTTTCTAATGTTGTAAAAAAGAAAAACAAAGTGGGTATGTTAAATATAACCATGTATTTATTATGCTAATATAAATCTTCCAATATTTTACTCATATAATTTTTTTTAAAAGTAATGATGTTATATATAACGAAAATAATAATCGTTTGCCTATGCATAACACAAGTTTAAAAATAGTCTTCAATAATTATCATCTAAGGTTTAATTTTTTTTTAGAAAATTTTCTAAAACATTTAATACATTGTGTCAAAAATTTTTGTCATTTAATACATTTTACATCAAAAAATTTTTTTTAACTTGGCTGATTATATAGATGAAAGGTTTACTAGCAATAATTTTTTGGTACAAATTTTCTCTACTAATATTCCATTATATATCTCATAAAAAAGTTTAATTACAACATCAAATAAATTTTTTTTTATATATTATTAATGCATTTTTTAATTTCATAAATAAAATTAATAAATTATTATATGTTTTATCTTTTTAATTTTAATTTTAATTTTAATACTTCAAAATTTATATACTACCTCATTAACCTTATTTTAAAATTTAAAAATTTCATCGTGTGATAATTTTTCTTAATTTTTAAATAAATAGTTTCATTACTAAAACATTTACTTTCCATTAAATGTCAAATATTTCTAGGCCAAACTTTTTTGTTTTTTGTCACCATAATTAATTAAAGGTAGACTAAGTACAATATTTATATCTTTTTTCACTAGCCTTTTAGCAAGCTATCAATTAGTTACAAAGCTTACATGAGTATCATGATTTTTCAATATTCAATGTTTTATCCATTAGTTAAGTTGAAAAAGAAAAGCTCCCAAAAATTGAATTTTCTTATAAAGAAAATTGAGCTAAAATTGAATGATGTGATAATTTCAACAAACCATGATCATACAACAAGTTTTGTATATTTTTTAAAGTATTTACTATAAAATAATTATTACCAAATAAAAATATCCTAAATAAAACAAAAGTAATTATAGGGATGATAATGGTTTGGATTAGATTAAATTTGATTCATTTTTTTAGATAATATATAATATTATGAATTTTTAAAATTTGATTTGAATCTAAATAGAATTTTTCTTGAAATCGATCATATCTAAACCAAATTTTATCGGTTTGGCTCATCAGCTTTAAAATTTAATTTTTAATTTTTATATATTATTTTAATAAAATTTTTAATATATTTAAATAGATTTATATATAAAATAATCATTCTTATTTTATAAACATTTAGAAAATATATAAAAACTAATAAAAATATATAATTCAGTTCAATTGTTTCAGTTTTTCATATTCCGATCCAAAATTTGATCTAAACGTAATATATATATATATATTTAATATCCAAACTTGATCTAAACCGAATAAGAAAAAAATTGATCCAAACCAAACTAATCACTACGATTTCAAATCAATTTTTGGTTTTTTCAAATTTTTTCTCATTCCTAAATAACAAAAATCTAATTTGAATAAATAAAATTAATTCATGTGAGTTATTTTTTTAATATTTTGAGTTAAAATAATATTGTAGACACCCCACTTTATCCAAAAAAATTTTTGGGGTCGAAAACATACTTCAATTGTAAAATTGGGCTCGATTGGGAAGCTTCATGTCCAATAGAAAATTTTTTAATTTTAATTTAATTTATTTATTTTACTTGTTTTCAAAAAAAAAGTCTAAAGTAAAAAAAAAAAAGAGAAATAAAAAAATGAGTGATTTTGGCTTGATTCATGCAAATCTTGTAAAATGAAAAACTCAAAATCAAATCACAAATTACAAAATCGCAACACAATAATAATCAATTTAATTTATTTTCCAAAATTAAAAGGATTCAATTCCTAAAAATAAACAAAAACCACATACAAAGAAAAAAATTTTCTATGGATTTTAGTTTTCTGTTTTTTTTTTTATTTTAAAGAGGAAATATTCAAGTAAATTCTAGGATTTTTTTTTTTTTAGATTATGTGATTTTATTTCGTTCTAAGTTTGATTTGATTTGCTTTTGGGTTTCCTGAATTTGGGTTTTAATTTTTGAGTTTGATTTCATATTCTGTTAAGTTTATGAGATTTTTGTTGGAGTTTTCTATTAGCTTTTGATTTTGGGATTTCTGTTGGGTTTTCAAGAATCTAAAATTTTTTTTGGGTTTTTCTGGATTTATGATGAACTTTTTGGTTGAAGTTTGAAGTTTTTACATGAACCTGGTGACCCACGTGAAGATCCCCACTTCAAGCTCGACCTGATCGTAGATTTTCCTTTTTTTTTTCTTTCTTTCATCCTATTTTTTGTTTTTGTTTTATTTTAGTTTACTTTTGTCATAACGTCTAGATCCGGGGATCTATCGCTAGACATTGACTTAAGGGAGTCGCCACC